TTTAATCAAAGTGAACTTTACCAAGTTGCATTCGTATACATTTAGTGCATTAAATTTCGCATTTAATAACTGCTCACTCTTAAATGTACTGTCTACACAAGAAACACTCATCAAACAGTGTGAATTTATCGTATTCACAACGGGTATATTCAATTTATTCACATATAATTTCTAATGTTACCAATGGATATAATCATATTATATGTATTCTGAATCTTGCACTGTAAAATCAAAAGAATGCAAGCACTGAAATAAGAAAACACTAGATTCATTGTAGCACTTTGAGTCATTCTCAGCTCAATTAAAAAAAAATATATATATACACTTGAATTCTCTTACATGCCGTGAATTTCAATCCTAATATTAATGCGTGATAAAAATTGCGAAGTGATGTCAGCGATTAATACTGCGTCAGGAAACGAAAGCATTACGAGATTTTCTACTATTACGCCTGATATTTATAACTGCGAAACAAATGCAAATTAAAACGCAAACAACATACGGTCACACGCACGAAGATTTAGCGTCACAAGAGCAATAGCAGCTCATTGGTTCATTTCCGAAACCCTCCCTCAGTGGCTACGCTGATGTGCACTTGTGAAATATGCTCCTCCCCCCGTCAGCGCGCCTTCACTGTGAGAAGATCAGAATGACTTTGTCAGTTATTTCTGGAGTTCCATTCTCTTGTCTCTGATGCTATCATTACAGTCGTAATCGGGTGTATTTAACTTTCTTTTAACTCTTTGTTCCCCCAAAAGGGTTCTAAATGTTGAAAAATCTCCTTAAATGAGGTTTTTAAACCTGGTATTAAAAATTACTGATGTTGTAGTAAATTAGGCATTTGTTGTTGCATAATTAGACAACATTCCAAATACAATCCTGAGCCACACTTGGATTTGCCGCCCACAAAAACTGCCTCCGGGCAGGAAATCCGGCTTGCTCCCCCCCCTCCCCGATTCAGGACTGATCTTATAAGGTATTTCTCCCACTTCCCTACCGTGCCTTCGTGGTGTAGTGGTCAGCACACTGAGCCGGTATTTCAGAGGTCCGTGGTTCGATTTCCGGCGAAGGCGGTTGCATATTTTTCATCTTTTCTGCGTCCAATTAACTTAATGATTCTACAATCTAACCTGAGAGAAGCAATTTCAATTCGTTCAATAAATCATATTATTTTTATTTAAGGTGATATAAATGGTACATACCTAAAAAAAAAAAAAAAATCTTAAATCGATAAAAGTACATTTAATGTGAAATAGAAAAACATGTTAGAGGTACACGAGAGTGGCAACGACAAAAAAATATCCATTTGGGTATCAATGACGAAGAGAAAAAAAAATGTACGAACCCAGTTCTTTCAATTAAACCGGAATCAGGACAAGAAGGTAAGCATTTTTGTTCTCAAATCCTGCAATATACAAATAATTAAAACTTCGCAAAATATAGCTTTCTCCACGGGTTTCCTTCTCTCAGATTTTTTGACAAAACGTGTGAATTCACTTTCAGATATGTTATGCAATTCATTTTCAAAATTCATGAAATTTAATTTTTTTTTAACTTCGTCATCCGTAATTTTCCTTGTAACTTTAAATCTCTTAAGCTGAAGCTTCTGCTTCGTTCGTTTCTGTTAACTTCAAGTTCCTGTCTGTGTAATTTGAGGCAATATCCAAACTACATTATATGTATTTATACTGTCAAATAAAGGCACAGTTTCAGATTAATATTCTATTGCCTTTAAATTTTGGACTTTAGCAATGAACTTAACTGCAAGTAAAAACGTTACTACCACTTCGCAAAAAAGATACTATTTATAATATATTGACAGCATATGCATTTAATTCGATACAAATGTATGTAATGTAGCGTAAAGAATGAATTGTTCAGACTTGATTTGATTATAATTGTATTTGTATAATTTGATTTATATTTAAAATCAAATTATAAAATTGACTTTGATTCAAAGGGCAAATTGCTGTTTTCGCAATCTGAAACTTGGTGAGAATATTTTCTTGATTCAAAGAAAAGAAGACTAAAATTGGGCCAAATCTCTACAGAAAGTTTGTATCTGTATCTATATCAATCTTGCTTTTTAAAATTGGCGAACGACGTTTCCTCCAGTCCGTGAGGGTTAATATTGAAACGAAGACATTTAACAACAAACGTTTTTACAACTTTTTATTAAACATTTACAAACAGCCATGCCTTCTCCGGGATTCGAACCCTGGCCCTTCGGCATGGCAGTCAGTAACGGTAACCACTATACCGGCTGGACGGTTACAGAAAGTTTGATTTTGGTATCTAAAATCGTTCTGTTTGTTCATTTTACTTTATCTGCAGAAATTTAGCGATTAACGTTAACTCAGCAACTTTAGTTCTGAAAGCATGGAAACCATTGTGTTCTTTTTCTCAAATCGGCTTAGTCGGTTTTCCAAGTTCACGACTTATGTACCAATCACATTATGTTTCAGCTACACGGGGCTGCCCGTCGAAAGGGGCAATTCTCAGAACCCGCACATTTCCAGTAAACCCACGTAGCTATATCACCATTTTCACTTACTACAAAGACTTGAACGCCAAACAGTAATCGATTATCGCTCAGATTGGGATTAGGTGATCATTATGAAGCAGAACTTTCGTCTGATTGGTTGACTCTACCTGGGACGGAGGTCCAGCCGAAACATTTTCAGTGAGCTTTGAAAAAATCCCGCGTAGCCTTTACACCGTTTCCGTTGCTAGGCGGTACTTTGCTTCCAACGGAGCTCCTTTTTTTTTTTTTAGGAATCCTCCCGGTTAAACCAGTGCTACTAGAATCTCGTTTCTCAGAAAAGTCTCGTTTAGCAGGGACTGTCGCTGGAAGTGATAAACTCTTTAGATTATAAGTTTACGTTTAGTTGCCTAAATCAGCTAAGTTCACGCAAATTACAGTTTTACTGAAAAATTAAGGAAGTGTTTTCGATGAAAACAATTGAAATTATTCCAAAAAGTAACAAGAAATGCATTTTCTCATTTAGGAGTAAATAATATTAAAAAAATTCTCTGCTAAATCAATACTAATGAGAAATTTAAAACGTACAAGACTAATCTAACTGTATTTGGCGATGCAGCGCTGTTTTGAAGATTACATAAAATTTCAAACTTTCTTCAGGATGTTCACTACTGGTAATCAAATTCGTAGAAAATTCGCCGTTGGCGAACAAAATCACATATTTAGCAATTAGCTAATTTTAGCTATTGGCAGCTAATTTTAGGTACTATTTAGCAGCTTGTTGTATTATTATGAATTTCTTGATAAGTATTGATACATACACATAGATTTTTGAGGAAACTCAAAAAAAAGTTAGAATTTGGAACACTGTCCTTGCGAGCATCTGCTTTCACTTCGCTGAAGTGTTTCATCATTCAAGATTTAAAAAGAATGGAAATTTCTTTTGATTTGTTTACTTGTAACGAAAGCTCCTTAAAAAAGAACTCTTCCTCTTATTTTTTAAATTATTGACTCTAGACGCAGTATACATCTAATAAAAAAAATTTCTCAAAACACAGCACATAAGTTTATGAAAACATCTTTTGCATAGTGAAAGCGATAGGTTATGTAAGTAATAAAGTATGATTTTAGAGTACCCATCGATCCCAATCACCAATTGTTGAAATATTTATTATACTTTAATTAGTTAAATATAAAGTCCCTTACCTTTAATTGCCAAATTCACGGAGTTATAGCATTAAGGATTCCTCACGTAGTGTACTGACACCTACTGACTTAGAACACTTTTCCTTTGAATTCCTTGATTTTCAAAGAACTCCTTTACTTTTTTAACAACTTTTAGCAAATAAAAATGTGCACGTTAAATCCAGCACAGTGAAAGCCTTTCCTCCCATTCTATAATGGGTTCTTCACCAAGAATAAGGGAGGACCCCTATGGCTTCGGCTGTAACCCCAAACAACTGTCCTCTTCTTCCAAAGAAAGGCGATTCAAATATTAATGAATTCCAAAGGGGAAAAATGATAGCGGTTTTTATTGGTCATGAACCCAACACAGAATTGCCAAAAGCGAAGTTGTCATGTTTTTCCTGTTTAATAATTTCGATTTCAAGAGTTCAGACAAACACTGTGGCAGTGATATATAGGTAATTTTTGTTAATTTTTAATTGTTCTTGTTATATAGTGATCTCAGTCTATTGTCATTCACCTTTCGTTTCGCTGACAAATTTGGAATGGAATTAGTGATAGGTGTTTTACAGATTTTCAATAAATGACCGAAAAAAAAATCTTGTGTGTTCACTTAAATCGGCCCTGTGTCCAGATTTTGTCGTATAATCAAGATACCAGAAAGACTTGAAGTCTTCAAAGTCAAGTCAAAAGAAGGAAGAATTCTATTAGAGAATCTGGTAATACATCTTTAGAAAACGAGCTAAAATGAATTTAGAACTGTTCTGTAATCTGATGTTAGATGGAGAAATTAGAAAGAGTGTGGCATATTGCTCAAATGCTGTAAATTTAAGTTTTATTAAACGTTTATGTTTGTGTGGAAAGAATCCCAAATCTATCGAAAATGATACTGACTTAGAACACTGAATTCCTTGATTTCCAAAGTGTAATTCCTTGTTTTGATGGTACTAAGCATCAAATAGCTGCAGAAGGTTCACGCGATCCGGTGAGTATTAATTAATCTAACTTACACTCTCTTGAGACATCTCAGAAATTACCAACTGCTCACGATACCCTTGACTTCAAAAGATGCTATTGGTTTCAGAATGGTATGATTGAGATAAAAATCTATTTTCTTAATTGTTATATGTTATTTCCTAAATTCTGAAGCCTGCTTTTACCAGATAGTTGGATCATCAAATAATACACAGTCCAGTCACATTAATGTGACCACCACGTACTTTCCATGTCAGAGTTAAATAACCAATCGCAGAAGGCAGGTGGCAGCACAGTGCAGTTGAGCGTATATAAAGGGTGTGTGAGGGCTTCGGAAAACATTTCAATCGTTGGTGTAATGCAGAAACGAAGCGATTTATCCGACTTCCAAAAGGGCATGATTATTGGCTTTCGGGCCAAGGGTGGAAGCATTTCCGAAACGGCTGAGTTTGTGAACTGTTCGCGTGCCGCCGTGGTAAAAGTGTACCGTGCATGGCAAAATGGGACTGTCCAAAATCAGCGACGTGGCAAATGTGGTGCACCACGGGCCATAGATGACAGAGGCGAACGACGGTTGCGGAGATGCGTTCGGGCAGATAGACGGGCTACCGTTGAGCAACTGACCACCAAAATGAACCAAGGGGCTACCAAAGTGGTCTCCCAAAGTACTATTCAGCGAACATTGCTTGCGTCTGGGCCTCCGAAGCAGACGCCTGGTTCGTGCACCTATGCTGACTGCTGTTCATCGACGGCGAAGGCTAGAATTTGCACGCCAGTACAGCAGCTGGACGTCCACTGAGTGGCGACAGGTTGCGTTTTCGGATGAATCGCGTTTTATGCTCGATCGGACAGATGGACGTTGGCGTATAAGGCGTGAAACCTCTGAAAGGAACCACCCTGCAACCATTGCCGGAATGGTCCAAGCTGGAGACGGGAGCATTATGGTCTGGGGAATGTTTTCCTGGCATTCTTGTTGTATCTCTCAATAGAATTCTAAAAGGTAAAAAGAAATCTCTTACCTTTTCTTTCACCCGGGAGCCGAGCTTGTTTCATTCTAATTCTTATTCGATGAAATATCTAAATAATTCCAAGCTTTTGCATAAAAACTGACACTTCTGTATAAATAAAGATATTATATTTAGATTTATACATTTTATATACAATTATTAGGATTACATAAAATTACGCGCTCTCCAGCTAACAGTCAATCGAGTTCGGATTCAGAGTTCTAACTACGTTCTTCCGTAGGATTATTCTCGAGTTTAGATGTAATGGTGCTGATAGTTCAGAGTTTAGATGTGGAGGCGCTGATAGTTCGGAGTTTAGATGTAACATCTCCTCCCACCATTGAGATCCGACGATGCGGAGGAACTCAATACACACAGGTCCAGTCGATGAGGAGGCCGAACAACTCGTCCAGCTCTGGTCATCACTCGAGGACTTGAGGCAGGTTCTGGAATACTAGCAGCCTGATCAGCCTGACCAGTTGCATGGTCGTTTTCTATCTCGAGGTGCTCTGTCGGGGAACGGAGGGCCAACGGATTCGGAAGTAGAGATCTCCAACGGGAAAAGCCGGGGCACTGGACGAAGCAGAATACCATTTCTTGTCTTGACCCTCGCTAGTCTAACTATTCCGTCTTTACTGGGGAAAAGCTCGACTATCTTGGCTAAAGGCCAATGTATGCGTCGTCTCTGGCTGTCTTCCAATAGAACGACATCGCCTACTTGCAACTGTTGAAATTTTCCTTCTTTATTGCCTGTTGTCTCAACTGACCAAGATATTCATTACGAAATCTGTTTCGTAGATCATGTCTTATTCTCTGTCGGTATTTGGCTCGGACGGTTTAGTTCTTTGGAATCTACGTAGTCCATATCAGGAACTCCTGATGACGGCAATTCTTGGCAGGAACATCATAGGGGTCAGTGGTGATGGATCTTGATTATCCTCTGATACGTATGTGATAGGTCGCGAATTAATCACTTGTTCACAGTCACATAATATAGTATATAATTCTTCATAATTTAAGGACGTTCGACCTAACACTCTTCTTAAATTTTCTTTCACCATTCGCACAAGCCTCTCCCACCAACCTCCCCACCAGGCGGCGGTCGGAGGGTTGAACTTCCATCGTATCCTTTGGATAGAAGCAGCTGAACATATGGCGTTCCAATTAACTTTCTTAAGAACACTGTTAGTCCCTACAAAATTAGTTCCGTTGTCGGAATATATCACATAAGGTCTACCTCTTCTGGCAATGAATCTACGTAAAGATTGGATGAAAGTTTCTGTAGATAGAGAAGTAACTAGTTCGAGGTGAATGGCTCTATAAATGGCACATGTATACAAGACTATCCACGCTTTAGACCCCTCACGGAGATAGAGAGGACCCGCTAGATCTACACCGACGACTTCAAAAGTCGCCCCTTCTCTGACTCGATCTTCGGGTGGAAATCCTGGCTCGACTTCCACTCTTTGTGAAACAAATCTTTTACATCTTACACATTTTCTGATAATATTTCGAATACTTTTTCTGGATTTTAATATCCAAAAGTTTTCTCTAAGATTTGTCATTAAAGTGCTGACACCAGCATGCTGGAGTTCTAGATGTTTCTCGTAAATTAGTCTCTCAACAAGAATATGTTTTGAAGGTAAAATTATAGGATATCGGAAATTTTCATTATCTTGACGCTGTAGGACGTTCGTTTTGGCTCTTAAAATTCCATTTTGGTCTACGATTGGTCTCAGCGCACGAATGGCGGGATCTTTTATGCCTGTAAATGATTCTTTCTGTACCAATCTACAAAGTGCCTTTTCAGCATTTTCCAATTCATCAACTGAGACATCAGGAGTGAGGTTTTTATCTTTGTTCTTTAAATTGTGATAAAACCTGAAAATCCAAGCGATCATTCTCACGGTTTTTCTATATGAAGAGAAGTATTTGTAGTACCGGTCCAAATTGTCTCCATGATCATGTCTTATTCTCTGTCGGTATTTGGCTCGAGTTTAGTTCTTTGGATCTACGTAGTCCATATCAGGAACTCCAGATGACGCAATTCTTGCAGAAACATCATAGGGGTCAGTGGTGATGGATCTTGATTATCCTCTGATACATATGTGATAGGTCGCGAATTAATCACTTGTTCACAGTCACATAATATAGTATATAATTCTTCATAATTTAAGGACGTTCGACCTAACACTCTTCTTAAATTTTCTTTCACCATTCGCAGAAGCCTCTCCCACCAACCTCCCCACCAGGCGGCGGTCGGAGGGTTGAACTTCCATCGTATCCTTTGGATAGAAGCAGCTGAACATATGGCGTTCCAATTAACTTTCTTAAGAACACTGTTAGTCCCTACAAAATTAGTTCCGTTGTCGGAATATATCACATAAGGTCTACCTCTTCTGGCAATGAATCTACGTAAAGATTGGATGAAAGTTTCTGTAGATAGAGAAGTAACTAGTTCGAGGTGAATGGCTCTATAAATGGCACATGTATACAAGACTATCCACGCTTTAGACCCCTCACGGAGATAGAGAGGACCCGCTAGATCTACACCGACGACTTCAAAAGTCGCCCCTTCTCTGACTCGATCTTCGGGTGGAAATCCTGGCTCGACTTCCACTCTTTGTGAAACAAATCTTTTACATCTTACACATTTCATGACAATATTTCGAATACTTTCCTGGATTTTAATATCCAAAAGTTTTCTCTAAGATTTGTCATTAAAGTGCTGACACCAGCATGCTGGAGTTCTAGATGTTTCTCGTAAATTAGTCTCTCAACAAGAATATGTTTTGAAGGTAAAATGATAGGATATCGGAAATTTTCATTATCTTGACGCTGTAGGACGTTCGTTTTGGCTCTTAAAATTCCATTTCGGTCTACGATTGGTCTCAGCGCACGAATAGCGGGATCGTTTATGCCTGTAAATGATTCTTTCTGTACCAATCTACAAAGTGCCTTTTCAGCATTCTCCAATTCATCAACTGAGACATCAGGAGTGAGGTTTTTTATCTTTGTTCTTTAAATTGTGATAAAACCTGAAAATCCAAGCGATCATTCTCACGGTTTTTCTATATGAAGAGAAGTATTTGTAGTACCGGTCCAAATTGTCTCCATGATCTAGAAGAGTCAGAATCGTTTTCCTTTTTTCCTTGTTTATAAGTTCTTCATCAGGCTTTTCTTCTACATGGGGCCACTCGTCTTCTGGTAAGTAAAGCCACGATGGGCCCTCCCACCATGCCGATTTCTGTAATTGCTCAATAGTACATCCTCTCGATGGGAGATCCGCTGGGTTTTTAAACTTCCAGGTACATGCCTCCAGTCAGATATTCTGGTAAGCGATCTTATTTCTTGTACTCGATTGTGAACAAACGTACCCCATGCTTGATCCCTTCTTATCCACCCCAAAGCTGTAGAAGAATCACTCCAGAACACTGTTCTACAATTCTTAAGTTTCAAATCTGATAGAATTGTTTTGGCAAGCCTGGCACCTATCAGACAGGAAAGAAGTTCAAGCCGTGGAATCGTAAGTTCCTTAATAGGGGCTATTCGACTTCTCGCGCTTACTAACTGAACCTTTACACCTTCGATGGTTTCAGCTCTTAAAAATGCACATGTGGCATAGGCTCTTTTACTAGCATCCGAAAAAACGTGGAGCACTACGGTATCTTCGTTTTCGTAATCAATATTTAACCAACGAGGAATTTCAATCTGAGATAGCAGAGGCAATTGGTTCAACCAAGTCCCAAACTGCTCACTTAGGGGAAGAGGAAGATCTTCATCCCACTTAATCTTCTGGTTCCATGTTTCTTGCAAAATTAGCTTAGGAATTACAGTTATCGGTGCAGTAAAGCCAATGGGATCAAAAATTTTCTGGGTAATTGACAAAACTTTTCTTTTGGTAATAGGTTCCCTCAAGTTAAATGTTTCTTCGATCTTGCAACTCAAACTATCTTTTTCTAAATCCCATACTAATCCTAATACTGGGACAACTTTCGTCTTGTTCTCTATCTCATCGATCATGTCAATGCGAAAATTTGATCGCCAACATCTCAAATTGAAATGCCCTGAAGCCAAAATCAATCTTGCTTCTTGAACGAAATTTTCGGCTTCATCTACGTGATTTAAGCTAATTAACGAATTATCGAGGTAAAATGAATCCTTCAAAATATTAGAAGTTTCTACAAACTTTTTCTGGGACTGTAGTCAAAAGGTGACTAAGTGTAGCGGCTAGCAGAAACGGACTTGATGTGAGTCCAAAAACAACTCGGTTATGTCTGTAAATTTTAAACTTATGTTGATTATCGAACCATAGAAACCTTAAAAAATCTCTATCCTTTTCTGCTATTTTGATTTGACAAAAGGCCTTTTCGATATCAGATGACACTCCTATGCGATATTTTCGAAAACGATTCAATATACGTGGAATAATTTCTATTAAATTTGGTCCTTTACTCAAACAATCATTGAGAGAGGGTGAATTCTTAGAACGTGCAGATGCATTGAAAACAGGCCGTATCTTTGTAGTTTCACTAGACTCTTTTATTACAGGTCTGTGTGACAAGTAGTGCACTCCTTCCTCCTTTTCCTCAGTTACTACCTCAATAATATCCTTCGCTTCCCACTCATCAAATATTTCTTCGTAATCTTTTCTTCTGCGTGTGTTAATTAGTTTACTTTCGGTTTTGACGAGGTGTCTTTCTGCCACAGTACGGTTACTGGATAAGACGGATTTATCTAAAATAAAGGGTAAGGTTACTTCATATCTCCCTGAGCTATCTCGTTTTACACTTTTTAAGAAATGTTTTCGGGTTTCTTCTTCCAAGGCACTTTTCGTTTTGTTTTCCTCACTTGAAATCCCCAAGGTGTCTAAACGCCAAAGATTGGACAAATTTGTATCGGAAACATGTAAGGATAAAGAAAGAACGGACAGGGAACTCGACGTATTCGCATTCTCTTTAATCTTGCCCATTAAAGTCCAGCCTAACTTGGTCTCAAAGGCAAAGGCTACGTAATCCCCCGCAAAATGTTCAATTCTTTCAGTGAACAATTGTGCTGCGGTGTCCGCTCCTAACAGCATATGAATCTCTTCCGGATTTTCTTGAAACAGACAGAGATTTCCATTCACATGATTGTCGTTGATAAGGATTCCCCTTTTTTCCATTACTTTAATTAATTTTTCGTCTTTGATCTTAGGTAGTGACGAACAAATTTTCCTCTGGTCTAGTGCTTCGATTTTACACCTGTACTTTCCATCCAAACTAGTTAAATCTATTTGATAACGATTATGATCTTCCGAAACTTCTACACCCCCAAATAACCCATGTTTAATTCTTTCAGTTCCTATCTTTTCTAATTTCAACGTTTTAGCAGCATATTGACTTATGTACGTGTTCTGACTTCCGGTGTCTATTAGCAATCTTAAATAACCCTTTAAGGTTTTCCCAGCTACCCCTACGACCAAAGTTTGTAAATAAACTTCAGAACGGTTGCTTTGATTCGAAAGTACTTTATTTTCAACTTCCTGGACAGTTTTGATCGTTCCCTTTTTACTCTCGGAATTAATTCTGTTGCACATAATCGTAGAATGCTTAGAGTGACAATGGGAGCAAAAAATGTTAGAATCACAAAATTTGCTGATGTGACCCTTATTTTGTAAACACCTAAAACAAGTGCCATTTTTGCGTAGTATTTCAACCTTTTCGTCATTAGTTAGTTTCTGGGCAATAGGACATTTATGGCTTGAATGGGAAAAATCTCCGCAAAAAAAAACACATGCCTTAATCAATTTTTCTTTAATACCCGTGGACACTAAATCAGAAGCAGAAGAAGCTTTCGTTTCTAATTTATTGCTCTTTCCATCGCTGAAATGACGAGTGTTTATTTTCTGGACTGCATACGCAGACTGACGGCGCCCACTATTCGCTGTCGAATGCTCTGAATTCTTATTTATGACTTCCGCCCTTTCGCGTGAATCTAAACATTGAGCTATAATCAAGCACAGGCTTTTAATATTACAATATGCACTTCCATTACTCATTCTGTTAATCTCAAGCAAAATATCTTGGGGAAGTGATTTCAGAATTATTGGACATAACACACTTGATAAATTCTCGAGAGAGACTGACCCAAATTTTCTAAACATCTTAATTCGATAGAAATATTATCATAAAATTTTCTAAAGGCGCGAACATCATTCGAGACTTTCAACGGTTTAGTGTTCAAAATGTTATTTATGTGAGTGTAAATGAGCACATCTGTTTGCGCAAATCTTCCTTTTAGAAGATCAATTGCGGAATCGTAATTAGTAGTAATCGGTAATCCTTCGACGGTATTTAAAGCAGAACCACCTAAATGAGCTTTCAACTAATTAAATTTGTCTATTTTATCTAATGAATCATTTTTATGAATGGCAGACTCGAAACTGTTGCAAAAGGTTAGCCAGTTGTTTATATCTCCGTAGAATTTCGTTAAAGTTAACTTAGGTAATTTAATTCGAACAGACTCGTTATGTTTTGGTTCGCTTTGACTATCAGTACTGAACTGGTTATTTACTACCGTTTCAGTAGATTTGCGTTTTAATTCGTCGATTCTTTTGGAGGAGGTACGGAAACTGCATTTAACGACCTTTTGGCGATATTCTTCAGATTTTTGGAATTCAGCATCAAATTCTTCGACTTTAAAAAGAGGTTCTAATTCTGTATCGACACTTTTAAGCGATTCGAAATTATTCTTTAATATTTCTAAATTTTCTTCCAAATCATGAATTTTCGGATCAATTTCCGAAAGCTGCGATTCCAAATCTTTAAGCGATTTCGTTACTGATGTTCGGAGAGCTGCGCGCTTCTTTTTTAATTTATTTAAGATCTCTTCAGACATGTTCTTAACAGTTCAAAAATTCAAAATGTAATCAATAATTGTATTCTTAATCTTTATTGTCTAATTTAAATTCTTATTCTTAGCTCGGGCGTCCCGGCAGGGATGCCAAAATTTTGTTGTATCTCTCAATAGAATTCTAAAAGGTAAAAAGAAATCTCTTACCTTTTCTTTCACCCGGGAGCCGAGCTTGTTCCATTCTAATTCTTATTCGATGAAATATCTAAATAATTCCAAGCTTTTGCATAAAAACTGACACTTCTGTATAAATAAAGATATTATATTTAGATACAGTTATATACAATTATTAGATTACATGAAATTACGCGCTCTCCAGCTAACAGTCAATCGAGTTCGGATTCAGAGTTCTAACTACGTTCTTCCGTAGGATTATTCTCGAGTTTAGATGTAATGGTGCTGATAGTTCGGAGTTTAGATGTGGAGGCGCTGATAGTTCGGAGTTTAGGTTCCGACATTTGAGGAAATGATCAATATCGCGCTTGCGGACCATTAACATGGATGTTTCTAATGTGCTCTTCAAGGAAATGCAGTGCATCAGTGCCGGGAGTGCTGGTCAAGGCACAGAGGTTACCGCCCCCGGCCAGCAAACTCACCTACTAACCATCGAGCATCTGTGGGACCATCTCGATCGAGTTGTTCGCGCCATGGATCCTCAACCGCGTAATCTAGCGCAGCTGGCCACGGCATTAGAGTCGGCATGGCTCAACATCCCAGAGAACACCTTCAGGGACCAAGGCCAACTAGATATCTAGTTGGCCTTGCAGGGACCTATGTGACTCTCTTCCTGCACGTCTCGCAGCAGTCCGCTCTGCGAAAGGTGGTTATTCTGGCTTTTGACAGATGGTCACATTAATGTGACTGGACTGTGTAGTACATAATTTTAATGACGGATTTAACAGCATAATTTTAGAAACATTATACTGGTACATACTTCACAAAAAAATGAAAACATAACTCACACAGCGTAAAGATACGGATCACTCTAGTAACACAAATGAACAGTCTAATATTGGTTGATTCTGAATTATGCTTTTGGCTCTAAATTTATTCCCCTAGCCTTCATTCACGTGATTAGCCACTCTCTGTCAGCTGAGAAATTCCGGCGTCATGCCTCCCAGAAAATTCCCTTTCAGTGTACTTTCGCTAGGCAGGCAGAAAGACGACGCAGGTGCAAAAAGCATCTTGCACAAATGTAAACACATGGGATTTCGGAATAGGAAAAGCTATGAGCACAGAAAAAACGTCAAAGCAATTGATGTATTCAGAATATTTGAATACGACAGGTACGATTGTTTAAATTGTTGAATGAATTCTTAATTTGAGTATTATTTA